CTATTAGGTTGAAGGCCATCGCTAGTAGGTTGGACGCGATCGCTAGTAGGTTGGAGGCCATCACTATTAGGTTGGAGGCCATCGTCAGTCGGTGATCTGGATAACTCGATCAAACTGGATAACTCGACGGAGTCCGGGCACCGCAGGAGTCGGCGGTGCAGGTGTTCCTGGAGCGCGGCGTGCCCCTCACCTGTGGCTCGGTGAGTTTGGTGACATGACATCGGTGACCGACGTTTCATAGACTAGAATCAAAATCACTATAGAAGATGGATATGTCGAATACTGTAATAGAGTCATACAAGTAAAATTGGTGATGAATTTGTGCTGATGTTGATTGATGCATGTCTTTGTTTCACATATTTTTTTGGGCAACGCTTGATGTGCCTCAAACAAAAGAGGGGGGTGAAAATTCTACCAAGAGGAGGTGAACTCATCTCCACAAACTTGCACATGAAAACCTACTTGTTGCTCCAGGAGCGCCTTTTTGCCATGCACGATGGGTGCAGGTGGCCTTTTCACTAAGACTAGCTGCAAAACTGTGAACCAGGGGTTCTGATTTGTTGAGATCACACTTATGAGAGTTCTTGACCTGGAGAAGTCAGATTGAGAATATGTTGATTTTAGCTAGTTCGCATGTTTGGTGTTTTCTTGATATTTATAGTTATAAGTTATAGACTATAGATATATAATGTCTAAATCATGACGCATATGCTTGGAATTTCCAGATTTGCTGTCATTTGGTGTGTCGTGTTCATGTCTTGTGGTTGTCGGGCTTGTAACAAAATGACAAGAACGTGACAACATCTCAGGAAATGAAGAAAACACAGCAAAATGGCTCTGTATGAGAGCAGCGACAGAAAAGGTCATGAATCATGAACTTAAAGCAAGGATGGTTTTACTTGGGAGGAATTCGTAAGACTAATAAACAATGGAACACGTTTGGAACAGTCACGATTTCACAACATGTTGTAAAAACATTGCCCTTAGACAGAAATGTTCGGGAACTTGTGTGACATTCCCATGGGGGACTCATGTGACGAGGTTGAGGTTGTTACCATAGGGGGGTTGTTTCAAGAGTTTGTGTACAATAGCTGCTTGTCATAACTCTGTGGCCCACGATGAGGTTCTTCCAGAGTCATGACTTTGCCTGCACATTTCAGCCCGGGAACGGTTCGAAAAGGACAGCTGCAAGTTTCAAAATTTGCATCATGGCGGTGTGAAGGGCAGCATTAAAGATCGGAATGTGTTGTCAGTGCCTTGTCTTAGCAGGAAGCCTGGTTTAGACAAGGTTCTTGAGGCTCTGGCTTTGTCTCGACAGAAGGCAGCTCAACAGTTGACTTCGCCATCAATGTGTTTCAACACCTTGTCATTATGGCAACTAAAGTGTCATAGAAGACTACAGAGTCATGTCAACTGTGAATAATGCATTCTGTGAAGAAGTCAAGAGACCGATTGCAATGGCAAAGGCATGGCACCGTTTTGACAGGCACCAAATTACATCAAATTACAAAAGGTTCTTTGACCTCGACCTTCCCTGATCATTTGGAGATTTCAAAGAAGAAAACGTTGACTTAGTTCAAAGTGGAATATTGAGCATGGAATATGGACACACTGAAATCTCCAGGAAACATCCCATTTGTACCAAACAATGACAATACAAATGAGAGTACAATGACTAGCAGCATCATGGCAGGGCTGCACAAGATTGACAAAGCCAAAATGACCGAAGAATGGCAACAAAATGACTATATATATATAATACCTTGCTGATCATCAGTTTGTGCCTCAGAGATTCTTATGTTATGAGATCATACTGGACTGGAAGGTACCAGGACCAGCAGTACCCAGCTTCTTCTACATGTTTGTTTGGCCAGATAGTATGTGGTCACAAGGCCATACTCAATGGAGGACATCCATTGTTATTTGGCATTCGCATGCATTCGCAGAGGACATCCCTCAACCTGATGCTGATAGTGTTTCTTGAGTAGTTTCAATGGAACCGCATGTGCCCTATTTCACTCAGGTTCGGACCGTGAGGGAAAGAAATTGATCCACACCTGTGTGAGTGCCTGGGCAAGAGCGATTTGGGGTCTTTGGAAGCTGGGCAGGCCGAATTAGAGCTAGGTATGTACTACCCCGAGGATCACCTGACTTGGGTGGGTTCGTAGGGCTGGCAGAAGAGAGGAACGATCATGCTGCCATGGCAGATGGCAGTGGGAAAAAGACTTGCAGAAACGGGAATCCCCGAATGAATGGTTGTGGCTGTTGTTGAGCTATTTGTCAGGAGGCAAAGCCAAGTGAAGTCAAAGCAATTCAAACCACGGGCTTTCAAAGACCACATCCGGAAGTTGTTCCATGTTCGCTCCCCATGCTGGAGTTTGAGCCTTGAGCCGCTTCCAATGTGATGGAAACAAGGGCCATCGTGGAGCGCACATGGAACAACGCGGGGTGCTGCACGGTGCTCCTGGCCTTCCAATTATCCTTGGGATGGGCATTCTGCTTTGGTTGCAGCATTCAGTCAGTATCAGAATCAGACGTGTGACAAAGGCTGGTGAATTTTGGGCGACGGATCTTTTTTCCAAGAACCCCCTAAAAAACGAGAAAACAATGCGGGGGGTGTTTGGTAGTCCCCTCCTGGCTTGCCGCAGTGGGAGCAATAAATCAATAAATTATTCCAAAACCTGACCCAAAGATTCTCCATGTCCACATTGCAGGTGTTTTTGTTTACACTGTTGTTTTTTTCGTTCCAAAGGTTCAGGATGCATTTTATGATCAAGCCTCAAACCTGCCAAGCAGTCCCAAATCGACCTTTTGTGTTGGCAATTTCTAGCATTTGGTCGCTGAGTCCACCTGAGTGAGAGGAAGATGCAGAACTTGGTGGATGACGAGCAGTAGCAAGCCATAGTACCCACAGCTCACTCGTTTTTAAGGCCCGCAGCCAAGGATTTCAACGAGTTCTATTGGATTTTCCTGCAGCTCATATCACTTGGGGTGTAATGTGTTCTCCCAATCCATATCCATTGAATATCATTGAATCCGTTGGACTGGAAGATAGCAGTTGGGGTCTTTGATAGTGTTTCTATAATAAGTTGTATATTGAATTTGGGATCTAAACACATATTGAATCAAAATATATCATAATTATGTATTATATTTATATATAGTGGAGATGTTCTTCATTGGCCCCTGGCGGAATGACCCCAACTGATGGGTAAACATTCAACTGCACCAACGCTGCTTTGGACAGAAACTCTGAACAAGACTTTCGTTGGACACTCAGCGGTCACCAACGAGGAAATGACATGCCCAAGAGCATCGCACTGTTGGTGACCATGAAAGCCGACGTCACCAAACCTGATAGACACTGAGCGTCAAGATGACTTTTTTCCACGGATGGAGCGGGAACGACGTCAAGTAGGCGAAAGAGATGCTTAAACACCTCTGAAGGCACACGAAAGGACTGGTCAAATTCTTGACAAGGCGGAACTATGGTTCGACTGAGCAGTAAGTGATGTTCGTTTTCGCTGGTGGTTGACCACTATGGTGCCTAGCGCCACCAAATGGTTTCTGTCGGTTTCCATGGTTTAGGATTGCGTGATAAGCCATCTAGAACCCACATTAGAAACATCATATCATAAATCATAAAGCTACGTCTTGCCCTGAAGTTGCACCGAACCTGTTCTGCAAAGCGGGGTTCCCAACTTGTGAACTCCAGGGTGGGCAGTAGCAACTGATTTGATCGATTGGATCTTGGTGTGAGCTAGGAATGAATCACTATGATTGTCAGACATGTTGGTTCATGGGTTAGTACATGCTAGTACTAGTTTAAAGGCCCCAGGATTCTATCTGCTGATGCTCACCAGGTATGAGGTTTGACCCACAGACAAAGAAATCAAAAAGATGTTCAACGACTTGACTACACGTTGCCATTTATACCTCTACATGCTGTGTCCCTGTTTCGGGGTCAGGAGCTGCCCAGGATCATGTTCTGCAAGATTAAGCTGCGACATGCGCTTGTTGACAAGCAGTCAAACGTGTGGCATCCCATTTGTGGCAGGAGAACAAAATGCCCTGCTTGGTTGGCATGTTTTTTATCAGAGATGAATGGTACAGTTGTGGGTGATCTTAAGGGAAAACATGGGGAAGCAGCAAAACATCCATTGTTCAGCTTGGCCTCACCGACCATCGAAGCATCGTGACCTTGCAGGAGTGGTCGGAGGCATCCCATGGATGCGGTTCGGCCTGAGGCGATGGTGCACTTCCCATTTCCTTAGCCATCAAGAACAAGTTCCGCCAGTGCATCAAGGCTGTGTCAACCGTGTGACTTGATGGTTGTTGGAGTGAAGCACCCCCAGGCCAGGTTGTTGCTTTCAAAATAGGGACTTCAACAACCCCCTGGAAGTCTTCCAGCTGATCACAGCCCACAGATGATTTGCTTCTCCTAGCTCGAGCTGCTAGGAATTGCTGATTGGCGGCGCAAGCGTGCCACACAATGCAGAGATGCCTGGCCTGGCGAACATCGTTCTGGAGGCCATGCTGTCAGGAGGTTTCGTAGTATCGCAGGAACAGCGGGATTAGTTAGTAGTTCGCATTAGCTTTAGTCTATTCCCATAGTTTTGATTCCAAATAAAATCAGGGTCCCTTCCTACGGAGACCGTGACCAGAAGGTTGAACTGGGAGCCTCTCTACTCGAATACACACCCATGTTGCGAGGGGCTTTAGGTGGTGCTGTAGGTGGTACCCTATGCTTCATCAATCCAATTCATGGCACAGAGGGCGGCCTTCATGGCCTTCATTGTTCCTTGCAAACTTTGGAAACATACCAAATGTACTTTGTATAATATGTACTTATGTGGCAGTTAAAGCTTGTTCTTTGATTGGATGTGTTTTGTATGAGAGCCGCCAGCATTCTGAGTTTACTACGCATTCGTGACAGTGAACCAGGTCACTTCAGCGGAACGACGAACATGTCCGCCTGTTGATATCCTGGTGCGTTCTGGTGTTGTTAGCTGGTGAAGAAAACAGTCAAGACATGTCAAGACCAATTTTGCTGGAAAACAACTCCAATGATATTTGAAACATCTTGAAACCGAATCCTCCATTTTGTGTTCAGAGATCCAATAGACTTGGCACGTACCCAACATCAACCCTCGGTCCACAGGTGCAGCTGCAGCAGTGCGCCAATGAGATCCGCCCGTTGGCCAAGTCTGAGGCGCGGAGTACTAGTACCTTGCTTAAGCTACTACATATGGACGCAGGATAGCTCACGCTTCTTCAAGGAAGCTCACCCCGCCTACGGGCTGGGGGAGCTTCCTTCAACAAGCGCTCGCAATGATATTGGTTCCTAGATGGATTGGCATTACCACAGATTCTTGACGTATGCTGTCGTCCCAGGTGTGGTTGGTTGGTTGGTTGGTTGGTTGGTTGCATGAGCTTATTGAACTGTGTCATGATGGGTGTCGTTTCGGTTGCGAGATCTCAATCTGTTTGGCCTGGACAAACACTACAGAGAAATCGGCGGGAGTGTGCACTGTACTTTTTGGCCAAAGAGGCCAAAGCAGCCAAAGCGGCCAAAGCCTGTTGCTTCTGGCCTATCACCTTGAAACAAAACCTGGTCAGGGTGATTGTTACTTTTCCCTATGGGTGAATGAATGTGTCATACGTTTTTCCTGGTTCCTTAAGCAAATCCCCAAAAGAGTATGTTGCAGGTCAATCCTAAAGGACTGTTGAAATCCACATCAAAAGAAACACCGGTGAAGTCGTTGGTTTCAAGTTGGGGCCACTCCGTGAGTCAGCCAAAAGGCCACACGACAGGACGATGGTAGATGGTGTGCAATCGTATTAGCGGTGAAGCTTAAGCAGCTTAGGCAGATCCCTGGAAAAGCCACACTCATTGCACCATCCATGCACTTCCATTGGTGGGCCGAGCCTGATTGTTGCCGTGCCTTTAGCAACCAGCAAGAAGTGTGGGCTTCGACCTGTCACAGCTGTACCAAAATGCAGCTGAAAGCCTCGAAGGAAGCAGATCGTGCACCTCACAAAGTTACTGTTTGGTGTTGATTGGAGGCCTGTTTTGCCCGGCGATTGAGTAAGGCATTGCGCAGGTAGTTTGTGGGCACTCCAGTGGATTGGTGACTCAATATTTGGTATTCAACTGGCTCCTCCCGTTCCTTCGGGGTAGTTGGAAATCCAGACAATCAATACCAACAAAAAACATCACCTGGGTAATCACACGTAAGACCGTAAGACACTTAATGACTTTCACGCTCTTTGGGTCCAGCAAGTTTTAAGTGTGGTAAAGAACTAAGCACCCTTGATAGCCCACAGAGGATAACTCTAGATTTGTTTCGTTGTTTTTTTTTAAATCAGGTTTCTTTGGTGTTGTTCTCCTTTTTTCTAACCCTGATAGAAGCAAGTGTATAGGTTATAGGCTATATTATAGGTCATTCTTCCCTCATAGATTGGGTCAACTGTTTTCCCCTTCGGGCCCCCTTCGGGTCGGTGACCGTTTTCGTGCCATGACATGCGGCGCGTCTGAACGTGACCTTTCCCAGGTGAAAAACGCCGAGATTTTAGAGGCTGAACGTGCGGTCCTTGATGGCATGAAGGACGGACCCGCCCGATGAAAAGAAGACCAAGGCAGTCGCATGCGATTGGGTTTTCATGAAGTTCCTTCGACATGTTCAAAGGTTGCGGTCATCACGAGTGATTTGGAGTGTTGAATTATGTTGCATTTATATATATAATTATATATATTATTCACAAAGAAAAGACACCCTGCAACAACAATAGGGGACTCCCAAACTTGATGTTATATATATACATATATATATACCTCAGCTGACAGTTGCATCATCGACAAATACTCCAGGTTTTGCAAGGACTTAGTATCACTTCGCAAATGCCTGAGGGAATCCCCTGGTGCAAATGGGAATCGAATTCTTTGGTGGAACCTGGTATCGTCATTGCTCCTAGTAGTGATGCCAGGAGCCCCTAGTAGCTTCTTGCTCCTAGTAGTAAGGCCAGGAGCTCCTAGTAGTGTGTTTGCTCCTAGTAGCAATCAATTTTACATCTATATCCACCAGCAGCTTTCACTTTTGAGAGTACGGCTGAAGGTTGCAAGGGTGACCTGTTGGAGGATATGTTTGAGACCTATACAAACAGTAAAGGCGGACGTTCGTCAACAGCATGGGCCCCGCCAGGAGTCTGTGAGATCCTGTTAACGGGCAGCTGTTCGGGGTCTGTCCGGTGATGCAGGGGAAAGACGACAGGTGAACTGAGGGTAGGCGTCCTAACATACCAGAAACAATTCCTGGCAGAACTTGTTTATTTTGTGTGTGTGACCAGGTGTCATGCATACGTCAATCATTCCGGCTCCAAGAAATGGGTGGCCATCGGCTGCATCGCTAGACGGGCGCCTTGATTCAAAACGCCGTGGAACCTGCAGCGGAATTTCCATAGGGTTTGCTCATAACATCTCAGAACTAAGGGCCAGGTTAGAGTTCTAGAATTTATAGATTTCAACACACACACACAGCCCGACCACTATGTCATTTTGGGTCTTGTGACCCGTCAAGGGGCAGCTTGGCCGTGGCCAAAACAGCAAGTCGAGTCATTTGTGTCATGTCTAGGCACTCGTTATTTACTTGCGTGTTGGCAAACTGTGACATGTGAACCTGTCAGCAGCCACTTCTGTTCACGGACTCGGGACTCGGCACCAGGAGCACAAGCGCCTTTTGAAGCTCAATGAGGAGAGCAGAAAGTGGAGGGGAGGGGTGCAAGTCGGTGACAGTGCTTGAAAGGAGGATAGACCCTGAAAGATCTTCTGTTGGGGGAGTGCAGAAGCATGACCATGTGTGCGTGGGCGTTGAGGTGTCAAGCATTCTTGCTTGTCAGGGAGTCAACAGGTATGGCCCATGGCTCATGGGCTCATGGCAAAATCTGTCGCATGTTCGCCCGCTGCTTGGGAACACTTGGAAAATGTGTTCTTGTTGTGCGGCCAACATCTTGGCACATCAATCAAGGCACTGAGGTGTTCCAAAACAACCTGCCTGTTCCGCGATCCTTCGTCTGCTTTGTACATCTATAATCTGCATATATATATATATTATCATACATATATATATATATAGCTGACAGAAACATGCGCAGCTTTATGTAACAGTGCACCTAGAATGTCCATCGATCAAACTGCTTAGATCCGCAATCTTCATGTTGCACCTTGGTTGCCCCAGCCTGGCCAGCAGGTTTACTGAGGTTTCTCGATGTCCCAAACTGGCACTTAGCCTAATTGATATCTAATTGATCCTATTTGTATTTGCACGCATGTTAGACCAATTTTGAACCCATCCAACGACCAAAAAGAACAAACCATTTATGTTTTATGATATTCATGGTAACTCATGGTAACCGTTCGCCCAATCTATGATCAAACCCAAGTCAAAAATTGTCTCTTTGCTCCAAACCTGTCACCATGTCCCAAACCTGGGCGGTGGTCACTTGCTGACCACCCTACGAACTCTACCAACCCATCGTCGTCCCGGTCGCTCACTAATCGTGGACAACGCGTCGTCGGTGGGGTTTGGGTTACGAGGACAGCCGAGCAGCCAAGAGTCTGGTGGAGCTGGAGGAACGTTTGGACTCCGCCACCGACGCACTGGGAGAGGCTCAGCAGACCTCTGCACCTGGGCGACGGAACTTCCGGAGCGATGCAGTGACTCCCAAAAGTGCTAAAGGAGATGTTTGAGTTTGGTTTGGACGTGTATGACCCCAGCTAGTGTTTGTGCAGCCGTGTGATTTGAAGGGACAAGATGTGAAGCTAGACACCGCAACAAAAGAGGAATGGGAGCCGTTGGCTTGTCAGCTGTTGTGTATCACTGGGGCATAGTTGGAGTTCTTTGGCCCAACTTCAAATTGTTTCTTCTGTTGGTGGCCTAGGCAGGCCCACCCCTCCCCGTGTCCTCAGTTTGTGGACTCATCGGAGCTCCATCAAGACAGAGGAGCAAGGAGTGATGCCCTTTGCTCCTAGTAGCTTCTTGCTACCAGTAACTAGTAGCGATGCCCTTGCTACTAGTAGCTTCTTGTTCCTAGTAGTAAGGCCAGGAGCCCCTAGTAGCTTCTTGTTACTAGTAGCGATGCCAGGAGCCCCTAGTAGCGTCCTTGCTCCTAGTAGCGATGCCAGGAGCCCCTAGTAGCTTCCAAGTGATAAAGTACGGAGGGTCTCACTGAGTCGCACTGACACATCGTGGAAACAAGTCACTGAGTAACTGAGTCGCCATCTCTCCGGGCTTTGAAAGCCCCCAAAACGACTTAGCCTTCGCTGTAGCGACGAGCAGGTGCGATCCCGTGAGCAAGGTTGGGGGATCGGTGGAAAGACTAAGAGAGGCTCCGGATCAGCACTTGGAAGAAGCTACTAGGAGCAAAGGGCATCGCTACTAGGAGCAAGTACTAAGAGAGGTCGGGCCGAAGAGACTTTTTTCAGGAATATCCTGGGACGCGTAGAATCAGTCAACCCCGGGTCGCAGCTCTTTCCAGTGTCGCTCCCGATGGCCTAGGGCCTATGAACAACGTGTGTTCGTGATATAACGGCACATCGTACGGCTGTTGCTGATGACACGGTCGCACTCAACTGAGGCCGCCTTGGTCGAGGAGTTGCGCCTTGGCCGTCCTATTGAAGAAAGTACTCCTGCACCTGAGAGGGACGCATGCGGATAATATACAAAGATGACCGTGGTACAGATCGTAGATGCTCAGAGGCTTTAGCATGCGCACATTCTAGTTGCCGACTCCTCCATCCTCACAGCAAGATGACCGCAACCCGATGACTGCTGACCCCACTGCGTGGGGCAGGGAAGCTCTTTGCATTCATTCCAATGAATCCCGCAAGCATGCCCGGCCACTGGTCAAGCCTTTTCCGAGGGGTAAGCGGATGTCTTGGCATGCTCTTCCCTCACAAGATCCAGGCCGCCCATGCGCTGAATACTTATATAATTACCTACCTACACATGCCCTGAGTGGTTTCAGGGGTCAAAAATTCTAGGTACCGCAACGAGCCTGATATTGGTGCTGCTCAGGAGCCAGCGTCGGATCGAGGTCCGGAACGCGCCACTCGGCAGAACCTCTGACTTGTGGCATGTCCGGCGGAAGCTGTGCTGGATGACCGTTGAACGGTTAGCTGGCTGAAGTGAGTATGGCATAAGTACGGGAGTTTGAACGTTCGGATGGCCCTCACAGAATGAACAGAAAGGTATTTTCTCTCCGAAATCCAGAGACCAGGTGGTGAGTTCTCAAAGTGAGAACGTGTGTTTAAAGATTCTGCAATCATGATCACTGAATTGACAATCCTCTGTGGCGACCTTTATATTCTGTTTGTCTCCCATGAAGATCACTGAAGCGATGTGTCATCATCCGTTTGCAAGCCTAGCTGTCAGCAAACAGTTTCGGGTGAACAAAATGGTTTAAGGAACACAAGCATGGTGACATAGCAGTGACCTTCACACACCTTCACCATTTTTGAGGGTTTGGGAAAGCCCGGTTATTACTAATTCCGTTCGATCAACACCCCAGATGCGGATTGCCAACATCTGCAAGAAGCTCCAAAGACAGAATCTTGGTGCTAACCTGGAAAGCCCTGGCCAACCGGCATCAAAGTCCGACAATGTTTTATTTGTTTTCTGAAGGCAACAGAAGGAAACCCAAAAGATGGCTTATAGACCGTCCTAACCATATTGGTTACTCATACCATTCAAGAACCTTCTTTTGGTCCAGAAAGTTGCCAAGACTGGAAACAAGTTCACTTCTAATGGACCTTGCTCACCTGATGGTAAAAAGAGCCAAGAAATTACCCCACCTGTCAGGTGAGGGTTGTTAGATTTTACGACTGCCCCATCTCATCCTCCTCCTCCTTCTCCTCCGCGTCCTCCTCCGCCTCGTCCTCCTCCGCCGGACCTCAACCACGACCATCCACGCCCAGTGTTCCCTGCCGGACCTCAACCACGACCATCCGAGCCCAGTGTTCCCTGCCGGACCTCAACCGCGAGCTCCAGGCCCAAGTGTTCCCTGCCGGACCTCAACCACAGCACACAACCACAACCACAATAACAAACACAACCACAAACACAACAACAAACACGCAACCACAAACACACAACCACAAGCACACAACCACAAACACACAACCACAAACACAACCACAACCACAAAGACACAACCACAAAGACACAATCACAAGCACAGAAACACAATCACAAACACAATCACAAACGCAACCACAAACACACAACCACAAACACAACCACAAAAACACAACCACTACCACTACCACTACTACTATTACTACTACTACTTCTTCTACTACTTCTACTTCTACTTCTACTACGACTACGACTACGCCTACGACCTACTACTACCCCAAGCTGTGCGCTGCTATTGCTACTACTACTGCTCGGGCCCCGGAAGTTTCCCAGTTTTGGGCCGCCCAGTACGACTACTACTGAAATGATCAGAGTTGTATTATTAGTTGGGCACAGGTCTCCTGATGAAGGCATTCGCTTCAGACAAAACAGTAAGACTTGGCGCTGAAGGACTTGTGCTATGGGCTGAAATACACAACGAGGGTGATGTCAACGTGGCTGTTTTGAAATGTCATGGTGGGGATCACTCGAAGTAAAATGAAGTAAAGTAATGTTTATCTAAACATATGCAATGTTTTAGACAAGTGATATCCTAGTATTTTGTGTTTTGCCAATGAATTGTTTGTTCTTTTTAAGTCGGAAGTTTGTTTGGGGAACCAACGAGCAATTTACCACCGACCTAAAAGGCTTTATCACTCCTAACTCTTCCCCAGCTTGGTCTACAGGCGTATGAAGTCACTGGCTGGAACGAAGACCGTCGAGCCGACGTCACGGCTCCAGGGAGACCGAGCTGAGCAAGCTACGGAAGGAGATGAGCTCGGCTCGGGACGCCCAACAAAGTTTTGCGAAGGGAAGCGGCGATCAATCGGCGGGAGAGTCAAATGGGAAAAGGAATGATGCTGATAAGAGAAGAAATTTGTTGATTCCTAGCCAGTTAAAAATTGTTTCCCCTGAATCACCGGAAAAAATGGGTTGATCTACAAGTTTCAGAGGTCGCAAGACTGGGGGGTATGACTGGGTGACCGTTTTTCAAGTCGGGATTTCAGGACTCCAGTTTCCACCCGAAGGGTGAAACGTCAGGCAATACCAATGGGTCAAGGAATACGCTGGGTGGAGCTGATTGGATGTTTCCACGTCCCGCGTTCGCCCTCTTATGGCCAGAGTGCTGCAGACTTTCTGGCATACAGTGGAGTTCAAGTATTCTGCAGTTTTTGAGTGTGCTTACATCGCCATATAGAGTCTACAAAAGCATACAACAACTACGGGCTCGCACTGAATTATTGTCACATTGACAATTTAATTGATGCACTTCATCACTACTATGTGTGGAAGAGTATGACTATGACATAGTACTCAGTATGCTTAGCCAACTGCGACGCTGCATTTCTCCAAATAGAGCATGCTTGCACTGTGTGGAAAGATCATGAAGCCAGACAAGGCCCGACCACCTGAGACCACCAGGTCTTGGACAATTTCAACGAGTTGAAGGAAGAGGATGCCAAGGTGCTCTGAGCCGTCGACCGACGTCCTTCGTCCTTCGGGTCGACCGACATCGGTCCGGGTGAAAACACAGGACGGTGCGACCATGGATGAAAGGAACGCAAGAAAAGCATCACCATAGTAGGATTTCAGCGGTCAAAAAGATCTTCAGGGATTGGCTTCAGTATGCTTCAGTGCAGAGTTTTGGGGACACTTCAAGGCGAGCAGAGATGGAGATTGAAGGTTTGTATATTAAGGTTTGTTGCATAAATGTGAATGTTATGGGTTTTGCTTGTGATTGGTTATAGTTATTGTATAATCATCTGACTGGTGATGGCGTGCCAAAAGCTTTGTCACAGCTTTGCAGTTCCAAGTTATGGTTCCACTCATTTCGACTCTGATGAGTCCTGTTTTCTGCGAGGCTTGTGCAGAGTGGAGTGTTCGCATATGTTCGAATGGGGCTTGAGGTTGCAAGTCTATCACTCAGCAGCGCATAGCAGCTCTACTGGGACATTGGGATCCAATCTTTGGAAGCAGCGCATCCCTCCGAACCTCCCGCCTCTGACTGCTCAGTTGAAAGTGGAGATTGAAGAGAGCAATCGTCAACTGAAAGAGGCGGCCTGGGAAGTCCAAGGTCGGTTTGCTCGAACAGTCCGCTCTTTTGTGAAGGAGCTTATATCGGACAAAGAGTAGGGCATATTAGTGTATATTATGTACATGTGTGTAAGTATATGTATATGGTCTATAGTATATATCTATACATTGTAGTCATTATAGTGATATAAAGATTGATATTGTTTGATTCAAACTCCAAGTGGATGTTGCTCAAGAAAGGATCCAGGGAATGGCAAGCAAGTATTGTTCCTCTTGTCCATTTTCCCAGAAGCTTCCTTGCCCAGCGCCCAATATCGCCATGTTATCGACTGCCCGGTGGAGGGTGGGGGCACGACAGTGTGTTTGGCACAATTTGACCTGCAGGACTGGAGATAAGTTGGGTGTATGTCAACCTTTCATCAATGTGCCTGAAACAAGGGAAGCATATTCAGTAGTTAGTTCGTGTTGTTGTAGTCTACAGCTGCTCAGAGATGAACGTGGGACAATCATCCCCAAAAGTCCTGAATCAGTGGAACTCAGAAAGACCTCCATGTTTTTTGTGGGGAATCAGCAGATCATCGGTCCTAGTATGTTTGGGTCAAATCCTCAAGTCTCAAGTGTGGGCTCTCCATGTTTCCACGGCGTTTCGCTCCGCAAAAAATTTAAGAGAACTGCCAGCTGGCTCACTGCCGCCAACTGCTTTGCAGGCATAGAGCCCTGCCTGGACTAGATTGCCCCAAGAAGGACACCGGATCCTTCAAAGCCTAAACTTCGGCTTCCCCAGCCCAGCCAGCCCAGCATAGCCAGTGCTACGAGCCCAGCATGTCAAAAGCAAACACTGGAGTCGTTCGAAAATGAAAAAGGAATCCATAGCGTGGCGTGCTTGGATTACTGCTATATGCCATGATCATATTGGTCTTGGACTACCATCACGTGCTTATGCACGGGATGCCCTGACCAAGCATAGCTCGCGGGACTTCTGTGTGATGGCTCTTAATCTGATGGTGTACCCTGCATTTGGTCGCCCTTACGCTTTTATCATATCTCTTATTTTCGTTTAATCTTGCTTACCCTTCTTTCGTATTTTTACTCTTTTTTACTCTTTGATATTATCTTTTACTTTAACTTCTGGACATGCAAAGACTTGGGGTCACTGGTGACTTCACTCTTTGGTGTTTTCAGAGTTCATGATGGCTCGAGCGCCATCAGAGCATGACTGGTCTTCAGAGTGTCTGGCAATCGAAGGGCACTTTGCCAGATTGGCAAAGCCAGTGGGCTGTCGTGGAGTTGTGCTGGCATTGAAAGGGGACGTGGTTCCACTTCAGCATCGAACCAGTAAAGAAACCCAATACGCGAGCGTCTTGCATGAGCATGTTCAGTAGTGCTTTTCTTGGTGCACTATTCTTTCAATTGTGGGTGGGTCCTGTCTGTGTCAGAGTTAGTCCCAAAGCACGGTCGGTGTCGGTGTGACTTATGTTTTAGTTTGATTCAAGCCAAGAAACGCCTTCAATGTTCCAAACCATACTGGACATTCACCGTTTGATTTGGCCGGGGACTTTGCCTCATCAGCTTGCATCGCGAGGCACATATGAGTCAGGCCTTTTGACAAATTCCGAACATTTTCTGGATGATTTCCTTAACAGCTGCGTCTTTGTCTCTTTTGGGCTTCAAAAGGGCTTTAAAATGATTGACTTGACACAGTGACAAAGCAATATCCCCAAGGGTTCACCAATGGTCTTTACCGAAGGACTATCCCTACTTCCTTGGCGGTAGCGACTTTAGTTTGGAGCGTCCAGAATGCACGGGGTTCGCAAGAAGTTCGCGAACACACGCTCTCGACTCTGAAGGCTTTGTGAAGGCCTGTACGAGATGTGGCAAGTTCATTGCGACTGTTTGGCCGCAAATGATGCAGGGAACTTCGTTCATCAGGATCGTCCGAAGTTGCTGCATTAGACATTGGGATTCTGCCAGCGGTACCAAGTGACCAAGATTTCTTCTTGAGCACTTCGTCGTCAATAATGGTCGATGGCAAAAGTCTCAGGACCGCAAAGCCTTAGCCAGGTCAATTCATTCGCTCAGCTTTCTCATTGTCATGAACTCAGTCAGTCGTCAATGGACCAACAAACCAACAGCTCAAGATGTCAACTGCCATTCCAGTTGGTCCCATCGGCAATTGACAAATTGATATGATTAACTGTCACTGTTAACTGTTAAACTATCATACACATATATATATATATATGTATATATGCATGTATATATGCACATACAAATTCTAGCTGATCCTGTCACTGACCTAGTCTATACTCTCATATAGTAACTATAATCTAGTCCAAGTCAGTTTTGGGGACACACACACTACTGACTCTCAAGGCTTTTTCCGTTCAAGCGCGGCTGTCTGTGACCATTTCGCCAATCCTGATTTGATTGTCGACCGACCCGGCCGACATGGCGCCCAAAGTTATGCGCTTGTGCTTGCGCGGCATTGTTATCATTCCCGGAAATGATAGGGTCCCGACTCAGATACAGTCTGATGAGCGCATGGACCAAAAAGGAGATGGATCACGAACTTGCCAGTCGTGAATGAATACAAGAAGGCTGCTGACGATGTGAGCTTTATGAAACACCCCAACGCAAATTTTCTCCAAGATCTCCGGCATCTTCAATTGACTGGTCAATTGTCACTATTGTTGGTGGTCGTGGGTTCAGAGCCTTGCAAGTTTTGTAAACAACAGCGCAAATTCTGTCAATCTAAGGGAGTGTCACCTGACTCTATTTCAATGTCTTCTGGGCAGAACCGAGAGCCGAGTCTTGGGAAGAGCGGCTACAAAACATCATATGAAGATCTCCGCGGGGGTGGCATTCAGGCCGACAACACGTCAGTCTCATCACAGCAGGTGGGGTCATTGGAACTGAACTCATCCCAAGAGTTGCCTAGCACTGCCACTCCACCGACGGAACCGCAGTTGTATGAAGTGACACCACCCAATCATCCTCCTGGAGACAAGCGGCTCCGGGATGCTGATGTGGAAGTAACCTTGGCTTCTCCACAGGCGCCCAAGACCCTTGCTGCCGCAACTGCTGCTGACCCTGAGCCCGCTTTCAATGCAACAGTGTTTGAAGACGATGGACGCCCTCTCATGTTGAAACGTCGCAGGTGCAACCGGACGAACCGACCAAAGGATGAAAAAGTGCCAGGTCAGGATTAAGCTATATCGCGTTCCCTCAGTAGCTAGAAAGGCCAGATCGGTTTATTGTTCAGCTCACGTTTGGAATCAACATTTATAATATAGAATAATGTCAATTAATTATGTAATCAAGCAACCTGTAGTAGTACCACCTGATACCTGAATGGATTTGGCTGTCTGAGTCTGACATTCTCAGACCTGGCTCCAACTTGGCCACTTGCGGGTACTGGTGGTCAGTCGAAGGGCGAGTCTGCTACTCCTAGCTTTTGCCCAAGCAACACAGTGTTGTGGCAAGTCCTTTCTTGGGAAGAAACTGGCACTGCGCCCTAACTAACAGACAGCCAAAACATCTTACTTCGTGTCACACCGTTGTTTTCCTGATGAATTGTAAGCTTCGAAGTCAACGAGCACAACCTCCACTCATGTCCAGCAGCAGGGATCAGGGATCATTATCGATGGTAGGAGTGAGTGTATATAGACATGGATAAAATCATTTTGCTGATGCATTCAACGCTGGCTGCCTGAGGAATTGCCAATCACATCCGTTTCAAAAGCAGCTGGTGCTACGCTGTTACTTGCCCTCCATGTCAAATGACAGTGACTGACTGACGGATTGCTAGTCACCACAGTCGACGATGATATCGGCACGTTACAAATCATTTTATTTGGACCATGGAGAAGGCAGCCGGCAGTATGAATCGAATCATATTCAATCCAGAATTACCAGAGAGGTCAAAGTTTTCAAAGGCTTCATAGGGATATGTCCTTGAACTACTGTCGTCCTTTTGACCATTTGTTGGGACTATTAATGAGTGAATTTGAATCGAAACAGTCTCAGACTCGATTCATCATTATTATGGAAACAGATGTGACTGTCACTGTATGATTTGATTTTGCAAATCGTAAATCATAATGTCAGTCATCATCCATATGAAACAACATAGACTCTCACCGATCATTGAGTGGTCTCCTCCAGCCAGCAGTGCCGTCCCCAGGAACAGTGGTGATTTACACGCTCTCGATCCACCAAAGACCTTTTCATACAGAGAGAAGAAAATCATCAGGGCCATGACTGTGACTCAGCTACTTTTAGGGGCCAGGATATATATTTTTTTCCGGCTCACGCAGCTGTTAAACTATTGTAGTTCGAGCCTGCAGTTACTTATTATCTGTTAGTTTCCCAGGTCGGATCCTCTTTTAACCCTGGATTCGGGTTCGAAATCTTCAGCAGGCAGCCCGATGGACGCCAGCTCATTGATGTCTCATTGCATGGACAAGCGGCCGATGTTGACCATTGTGGCCTGGACTTTGATTAATTTACTTATCATGTTTCAGATAGTTTGCTTTTCGGCCAAAGTCGAGCCCTGGTACCGTATTTCTAGTAGTTGCATACGCATGCTCAATAGATTTGGTAATCATGCTTCATTGTCCATTCTGTCCGGTCCCAGTCCCAGTTTACCACCAACACATGTCAACCAAGTCTTCCGATGAAGAAGCGCTACAATTCAAGTGCATCTACTCCCTAGCACAACAAGGCCTCAGGCTATGGATCCAGCCTGAGGCTAGAACGACTGCCACAACGCTATCAGAAGAGGTGGCTGTCAGTATACAATGCTTGTGGCCTCGACTATATCAAATCTCCCACACGGACCGTATGGGTCATGGCGTGGATGAAGAGACACCTCAGCTGATTCCACAACGTCCATCCGACATCCCCAAGCTGCAGGCAGTGACAAACCTGGCAGTTTTTGCAGCTAGGCTGAATTGATTTTTATAGCTGCACAGACCTAATTTGAACCCTCAGCCTCATTGAATAAATATCCACCCAATCAA